CTGCTCTGACTTTTAAAAAAAAATCTCAATGTATTTTGGCCATTGAAATGACATTATGCTACTAACTGCCTAAGGGTAGTGGTTGCAAAGATTCTATATTCTGCTAAACTTGTGTCACCCAAATGTGAAGTGTTGTTCTGTTACTTGTCTCATTGCACACAACCTGCATAGTCCCATTGGTGTACCAGCTCACAAAAACAACACAGTGTGCCACACTTTCAAAGTCGGGCATCGGGTGACAACTGCTAGTGGAATAGGGTATACATGCTGCCTACTACTCTAGGTGTACTGATGTAGAGTGGACTCATGGTCTCTTTTAGTCTCTCTGCCCCTAGTCTCAATTTGCCTTGTTTAGTGATGATATCTGCTCTGGCTAGTGCAATACTGATAATAGCCAGTCAGTTGGGGTAGGAAGAAGGCCTGCACAAGACTATTGGTCTAGCAAATAGAAGTATTAATCCAACCCTGCCTACAGTATTTGGTGTCATCCTTTTGTGTCCTCATTATGGCTTCTCAACAGCACCATTATGACAACACAGAGCGCCATCGGGATGCTACCTAAAAGACTTGGCACAGGAGACACTTATAAACCCATGTAGGATGGAACTATTATCTGAAAATTAGGGTTAAAGCTGGAAACTAGTATGTAGCATAAGTTTTGCAATGCCACAAAAATGTATAATATGTGGTTGTGAAAGAATACCAACAGTTAATGAAGGCAATCTTGGCTTAATGTATACCTCATATAATATAAGTAACTATTTGCAGAGACTTGTATTTCAGTGTACACTACTGTCTGATGGATTGGTAAGCAATGCATTGCTAAATGGGTGTACTCTTCCTAACATTTTTCGAGCATAGTTTAATATTTTGTGTAGGCAAAAATAGTAAAGGGAAACTTCAATATTGGCATAAATACCAAACTGAAACTTATTATTTTATATTTCCAGGTGAGCCGTCCACATCCAGCAGACTCCCCTCTACTTATCCTGTTTGTCATTGGTGGAGTCACCGTCTCAGAAGTCCGAATGGTGAAAGATCTTGTATCAACGCTCAAACCAGGTGTCCAGGTACGAACACATTGGGTACATACACAAAGTTCCCCAAAAATCTCTTGACTGAACAAGAGATTTGTGTGGAGGTCAGAAAATCACCTTGAACTTTTAGTTTCTTTTGATTTGAAGGTTATGGGGGTAAAATGTTAGCAACACTACAATTGCATTTAAAAATATACTGTTCATAATGAGTACTCCAAGCTTCCTCTGGAAATATTTGTGGGTGTAGATTCCCATTGAAGTTTTTGTAAATTGATGTACATATGTTTTGTTTAATTTCTCTAGTTTATAGAATCTTTGTTTAACAAATAAACATTCAATACAGGATTTTTAGGAAGTTAGCTAAAAAGAGAGCAGAGTAGATTCTTCCTGCCTAAAGGTTTGCTTTTCTGAAATTTTGGACTGAGCCTTAGATAAGGGAGGAGTCAGTCTGATGACACATTCAGCTAGAGCTATTGAGTTCTGTAAGCAAAAAGCAAATCAGAAAGCTAAAGTAGCAAGATTTATTAAGAGAGTTAGAACATCATCTGTTGACTTTAAAGGAGAACACAAAATATTAGCCATACTTTTTATTTGCCTGACCAAAAAAAAAATATATTTTTAACATTATTTAAAAATGTTTTTTACATCCTGAATACAATAAAGAAAATGTGTACAGAACCACATTTCATTAAGCAAAACTGTCTTGACCCTGGACATATCAAAATGAGCATTTGCTGAAAGAGTCAAGGCTTGACCTCTGTCCACTCTCACATCCTAAGCCCCTTAACTATTGAGTCTGTCTGTTATATTATTAAAAGGGGTTGGGAGAGATGGGGTCAGTCTCAACTTTTCATTGTCAAAATGCATATGCATCTGAATATACATTTTTTTTTTTTATTTATGTTTACATTTCCCAGATTAGTGACAGGTATACATGAATGTTCTCAGATGGGAACAGTGGTAAAGAAGGATAAGAGATCACTAGCACTGCACTGCACTGCACAATCAAATATTGGGGCTTTAACAATAAGCATAATTTTACATACAGCTTTTTAACACAAACTTCAATCCAAATTGAAATAAGCTTTTTTTTTTTTTTTTTTTTTTTCTTTGGACACCACTCTTACCAATATGCTTACTGTGTACTCTGTGTAAATTTTTTAAGTCTATATAAAAATGCAGATAAACTATTTCTTCTCATTGCTTTAGACACTCCTCTATAGGGGGTGTCTAAATAGACAGCGCTGTGGTAGTTGATTGAAAATTACAAGCCCACAGCCAGTAAGGCTGTTGGGACTTGCAGTTCATTAATTCACGGAAGTCTGTGAATAATGATGTGGCCGTGTGGGCCGAGCACCGCATGGCCACGCTGTTTTCAAATTTGACAGATAGTACGGGGAGACTTCTCCCCGTACTATTTGTCAGAGGGAGAGGGGGCGGCGGCTGCTATGGGAACATGTTACATGTTCCACCCTAAAAAACGGGTGCAACATGTAACATGTTCCCAAAGGTGAACTTATCCTTTAACCCCTTTCCGAGCCAGTGTCTTTAGTGCAGTGACAGTGTATAGTATTATCACTGATCACTGTATTTTTGTCACTAGTAATGTCAGTGGCAGTTAGTCATTTTCTTCCGGTGTCAGTGTCAAATTTCCTTCTGCACTATCGCAGTTCTAATATTAGTCGCTGATTGCCGCCATTATTAGTATTATTATTAGTACTTATTAGTAAAAAAAACGCCATTATTAGTAAAAAAAAACCCGATTCCAGTATATATACCATACTTTGTAGGCGCTATAACTTTCACACAAACCAATCAATTTACACTTATTGGGATTTTTTTTTTCCAAAGACATGTAGCAGAATCCATATTGGGTGAAACCTTAGAAAGAATTTTCATTTCTTTTTATTGGATATGTTTTATAGCAGAAATTAAAAAATATTTTTTTTTTAATTTTCAGTGTTTTTTCATTTCTATTGCACAAATAAAAAAAAAACAGTGGTGATCCAATACAACCAAAAGAAAACTCTATTTGTGTGAAAAAAATTATATAAATTTTGTTTGGGTAGAGCATTGCATGACCATACAATTACCAGTTAAAGTAGCGTACTGCCATATATAAAACAAAAAGGCCTAGTCATGAACTGGTAAAATCTTCCAGATCTGAAGTAGTTACCTTTCAATATAATTCCTTGTAGGAAAGATGGAAACAAATCCGCATTTGCTTTCATAAATCAGCCCTATTGTCTTTATTACAAATGTCTACTTTATTTAAAAATATCACTTATTATCCTCCTTCTGGGATGTTTTTGAAGGGAAGGATTGTGAAATATAAGACTACAATGATACATGTAATTAAGGAGTATTTTTAAGTTTAGTTTTTAAGATACAAATGTGTAAAGAGAAATAGGTTATTGAGCTGTAAATGTGATCACGTTCCCTGGCAAACAGTTTATAATCCGCTCGACTATGTTAATCGCTGCAACGGACATTGCTGATGGGGGAGTGTAAATCCTCCTCCAACCTCTGATAGGATTATAAAATGAATTTTGTTTTATTTCATAGAATTTCTGGCAAAATGTAGTTCAAAAACTACTCATTTAAAGATTTACTTGACTGAGTTGAATAAAAAGAGTACTGTTAGCTCTTTTTTGTTAATCCTCCTGATGGAAGGTGTTTAGAAAGATGGTGGCTTATCCATTTATGTGTGTGACACTTTAACACGTCTACCAGTTGGTATCATGATATGTACTCTGGAAGTAAAAATCAGCTTTAGAAAAGCCATTTTTGTCTGTCAGCTTGGTCTGTAATTCCTATCATCATGTCTAATGGAATGAACTAGATATATTTTAATGCTCTTAGTCTGCTTTAAGATATGAAACCCCATTAGCTTTATCATGAATGCAGGAAGTTTGAAGTAATGAAGATAGTTGCATAGTTAGCAAATATAAAAACAGACACAAGTCTATCACTTTTAGATGATTCTTACAAATTTTCGACAATGATGATCCTCATACCACTTTTTCATTGTATTACTTTTTGTGCAGCCCTAACTCCTCAAAATCATCTACAGTTTTTAAAATATTATATGTTTGTAAAAATAAATGGCAACTATGCCAAAGAAAACAATAAGAGTGTAAAAGGTATAGTGATACAACCCAGCAGATTGGAATCTTCTCATGCAGAAAAGTGTGAAAGTAAGAAAAATCACGATTAGAGAATTTTTTTTTCTCCTTTTACTTGGAAAAACCAGTCATGCCAAGAAAATTTCATTCATTTACAAGCCACCAGTACCGCATGAGGAATGCTAGATGTCAGTTCAAAAAATCTCTTGTCTGAATTGAACCTTTGAGTAGTCATTAGATCTACCAGTGGGAATATTCTATATTAGAACTAGCAGGGGCGTCCCTAGGGTTGGTGTCACCCGGTGCAATAACACTTGGTGACACCCCCTCCGATGATCCCTGCAGAATGGTTCGGATCTGCGGATTGAGCATAATGAATCAGACTCCGATCCATTATGCTCCCCAATCCGCAGATCCGATCCATCCTGCGGGGATCGTCGGCTTGCTTTACAACTTACCTTTTCGTGGAGCGGGTCCGATGTCACCCCGTGCGGTAGGTTCACCCGGTGCAGCGCGCAGCCCCGGCACCTGCCTAGGGACGCCACTGAGAACTAGCCTAATACACATAAGCTGTACAGTACTATTGCTGCAGCAACCCACATTACCTGTGTGGCCTGGGCTCAGATAGAGACCTGCCTCAGATCCTCCAAGCTAAGCACCTCCATGGTGCCATTGACCACTAGCCTACAGGGCACTTATACCCCCTTCCTGCCCAGGCCAATTTCCAGCTTTCAGCGCTCTCACACTTTGAATGACAATTGCACGGTCATGCAACACTGTACCCATAGCAAATTTTTATAATATTTTTGTGACAGATAGAGCTTTATTTTGGTGGTATTTAATCACCTCTGGGTTTTTTATTTTTTCTTAAACAAACCAAAAACCACTGAAAATTTTGAAAATAAGTTTTTTCTTAGTTTTTGTTATAAAATTTTGTAAATAAGTGATTTTTCTCCTTCACTGATGTGCGCTAATGAGGCTGCACTGATGGACACTGATAGGTGGCACTGATGGGCACTGATGAGGAGGCACTGGTAGGTGGCACAGATGGGCATTGACAGGCATCACTGATGGGCACTGAAAGGCAGCACTCACATATGGCACTGATAGGTGGCACTGATAGGCGGCACTGACTGGCACTGATAGGCGGCACTGACTGGCACTGATAGGCAGCACTGACTGGCACTGATAGGCAGCACTGACGGGCACTGACAGTGGCACTGATAGGCGGCACTGATTGGCAGCATTGATAAGTGGCACTTACTGGCATTGATAGGTGGCACTGATGGGTGACACTGAAAGGCAGCTCAGATGGGCACTGATATGTGGCACTGATGGGCACTGAAATGTGGCACTGATGGGCACTGGCAGGTGGCATGGATGAGCACTGAGAGCTGGCACTGATGGACACTGACAGGTGGCGCTGCTGGGGCTACACTGATCATCAGGGCACATTGATCAGTGCTCTGATGATCTGTATACATGTCCCCTCCGAGGAATGCCGATTACCGGCTCTCCTCTCCTCACGAGCTGTCAGCGTGACAGCTCGTGAGGAGAGAAATGCCGATAACCAGCATTTCTCTGTTTACATGTGATCAGCTGTGATTGGACACAGCTGATCACATGACCGAGCCGACATCTTCGGCTCTTTCCGTGGATTGGTGATCCGCTGTGTCCAAGGGTGTGCAAGGGACACAGCGCACCGCCGATCGCCGAGCTGCACGCTCCGGGAGCAGCGCAGCCTCGGTTAGAATGGGAGGACATCATATGACGTCCTCCCAGAACGAGGGAACCACCTTGCGTCCATCATATTACTACATGGCAGGCGGGAGGCGGTTAAAGTAATATCTGTAGAGAATGTCCAGCTTATTATTCTTCTATTAAAGGAGAAGTGCAGCCAAAGAGCATTTGGCTGTACTTCTCCTGTGGATCACAGGAGTGCAGTTTGTTCCGCACTTCTGTGACCTGTTTTCAGATAACAACAAGCTGAAGTCCACTTTCAGCTGACGTCGCTCATATGGTCAGGATACACCCAGCAGCCTGGACTGGCACCTGGCTCAGCCTCTCAGTGATCTGCTGAGAGCCTGAGCCAGCTGCTTCCACGCCCTCCACAGCCCAGCACTCTAGTGAGCACTGGGGGGGGTGAGCAGAGCAGAACTGAGCAATCGGCAATTGTCTGATCACTCAGTTCTCACCCTTAGAGGCGGTGGGGGACAGATGGAGCATGGGATCGATGCTTCATCTACTTTGGTAAGTATGATTTAAAAAAATTAATGAGATATATATATATATATATATATATATATATATATATATATATACACACTTCTCTTTTAAATGCTCCTGCTAAAACATGTACAGAGAGTTCATAGGCTACAGGCAACATCAGTAGTAATCTCAGAATTGCGGATGCTGTTGACTGGTCAGAGAGGTCAAGGAACACAGAAATACGAGCACATCAAATGGAGGTAAAGAAGCCCATAAATACGAGTACATCAAATGGAAGTCAAGAAGCACAGAAATATGCACAGAAATATGAGCACATCAAATGGAGGTCAGAAAGCACAGAAATATGAGCACATCAAATGGAGGTCAAGAACAGAAATGTATGCACATTAAAGAACACTTCTCCAAAGGCCTAGATGTTTGCATACATGGGGCTCAATATGGGGCATAAGACAAAGTTGTTGCACCTTTAGTTATAGCTTGTTTTGGATTGAATAGGGAATGGATAAACCTCTGTCAGGGTTTCTTTGTCATGTAGTCCCATTGTGGAGATTTGCCTTAGTTTCTTGTACTGTAGACACAACAGGAAGTGAGTGGATATCTCTCCAAAGAGAGGGAAATCCCCTTAGACAGTTGTCACCAGAACACATTACCCCCCCCCCCCCATTCCTGTTTTAGTGGCAACTCAAAATGTTTCCTGTCTCAGTGATAATGATCATCAGGACAAATGAAGAGGAGGATGAATGGTCCCCCATATAAGTTCAAACCTTTTCAAATTCTAACAGTTCAAATCTGCACACATTCAAACCACAATGTAGTCTCAACATGGTCTAACACTGATGTGTCAGTCCCCATTTCAAAATTTCAGGTATAACCCTTACTGTTTGTGTGAATGTAATATAGGGAGAGACTGCATACAGTTATACTAACAATGTTTTAAAAGGCAAATAATGAATGTGATCAAATGAACGGAACTATATGTTTGATGGGTCCATTGTCTGCCAAATGTTGCTGAAGTCTATAAATAGTACAGAAAGCTACTAAAGCCAATATCTGTCCAATTTAGATCTGACAAAATTATGTGGGAAATTGCATTAGTGATTCATGAATTGTAAAAGTTTACTGTTTACTTTAGTTGTATTCTCCTTTTTTGACTATTTTTAGTTTCCTGCATGCCACTGGTCTATTCCTGTCTTACAGTCCATTTTTTAAGAGAAATATCATGTAATGCAGTGTTGGGGGGAGAAGTGTCTTTATGAATGTGTTATTTATGCATTCTTAGGCCCTGTGGCTTCCTATGCACTTGAATGAGGTGTGCATGACATGCTGACAATGTATGGCACCATTCCTGTGATCTCAGAGCTAAGTTTAGAATTATATGTAATAAAGAATAAACTATAAAATCCAAAATTAGATAGCAGTCAATTCAGTTTCAGCTGTAGTTTTACTAGAATAGTTTAGAATAGGAGTATCTGATTAGTAGCCATGGGTAACACAGTTATTTTACCTTTCATCCAGATAAAACGACAACCTTCAAAAAGCTTCAGTATAGTTTGAGGATATTTATATTAACATAAAATAATTATTCCTTTAGTCCTGAGAAAATACAAAGTTGAAATACATGTACAGTGCCTTGAAAAAGTATTCATACCTCTAGAAATTTTTCCACACTTTGTCATCTTACACCCAAAAACGTAAATGTATTTTTTTATTACACCCAAAAACGTAAATGTATTTTATTGAGGATTTTATGTGATAGACCAACACAAAGTGGCACATAATTGTGAAGTGGAAGGAAAATAATAAATGGTTTTAAAATTTGTTTACAAATAAATATCTGAAAAGTATGGTGTTCATTTTTATTCAGCCCCCCTGAGTCAATACTTTGTAGAACCTCCTTTCGTTGCAATTACAGCTGCAAGTCTTATTGGGTATGTCTCTACCAGCTTTGCACATCTAGAGAGTGACATTTTGCCCATTCTTTGCAAAGCTCTGTCAGGTTGGATGGAGAGCTTTTAGAGAGAGTGAGGACTTAACCCGGTCATGTTACAGTGCTAGGTTCTGACAGTTGGCTGCTACAGTGGGGGAAAAAAAATATATGATCTCCTGCAGATTGTGTAGGTTTGCCCACTTACAAAGAAATGAAGGGTCTATCATTTTTATCATAGGTATATTTTAAATAATAGAGACAGAATGTCAACTAAAAATCCAGTAAAAACACATGATCCAAATGTTATAAATTGAGTTGCAGTTCAGTGAGTAAAGTAAGTATTTGATCCCCAAGCAAAATACGACTTAGTACTTGGTGGGAAAACTTGTTGGCAAGCACAGAGGTAAGACATTTCTTGTAGTTGGTTACCAGGTTTGCACACCTCAGGAGGGATTATGGTCCACTCTTCTTTACAGATCTTCTCTAAATCCTTAAGGTTTCTTGGCTGTCGCCAAGTTTTATCTCCCTCTATAACTTTTCTATAGGATTAAGGTGTGGAGGCTGGCTAGGCCACTCCATGACCTTCATGTGCTTCTTCTTGAGCCACTGTTTTGTTGCCTTGGCCGTGTGTTTTGAGTTATTGTCATGCTTGAAGACCCATCCACGACCCATCTTCAGTGTTCTGGCTGAGGGAAAAAAGTTCTCCGATATTTTACAATGCATGGCCCCGTCCATTGACCCCTCAATGCAGCAAAGTCAGCCTGTACCTTTAGCAGAGAAACAGCCCCATAGCATAATGTTTCCACCTCCGTGCTTGACTGTAGGAATGGTGTTCTTTAGGGTCATAGTCAGAATTTTCTTCCTCCAAACAAGGCGAGTCAAGTTAATGCCAAAGAGCTAAATTTTTTGTCTTATCTGTCCACAGCACTTTCTTCCAATCCTTCTCTGAATAATTTAGATGTTTACTGGCTAACTTCAGATGGGCCTGTACTTGTGCCTTCTTGAGGAGGGGGACCTTGTGGGCACTGCAGGATTTCAATCCATGGCTACGTATTGTGTTACCAATGGTTTGTTTGGTGACTGTGGTCGCAACTGCCTTGAGATCATTTGTAAGCTCCTCCCGTGTAGTTCTGGGCTGATCCCTCACTTTTCTCATGATCATCCTTACCCCATGAGGCAAAATCTTGCATGGAGCTTCAGAATGAGGGTGAATGATGGTTATTTTGTATTTCTCCAATTTGCGAATAATTACAATAAACAGTTGTCTCCTCTCTAAGCTTCTTGCTGATGGTCTTGTAGCCCATTGCAGCCTTGTGCAGGTCTACAATCTTGTCCCTTATGTCTTATGACAGCTCTTTGGTCTTGCCCATAATGATGGTGAGGTTTGAATGGAAGAAAGATTCTGTGGACAGGTGTCTTTTGTACACATAACAAGTTGTCATTAGGAGCACCTTCTTAAATTGACAGGACTAATCTGTGTATCACATGAGCACATAGCCAGTCTGTGGGAGCCACAATTATTGTTGGTTGGTAGGGGATCCAATACTTATTTTACTTACTGAACTGCAACTCAAATTATAACAGTTGTATCATGTGTTCTTTCTGGATTTTTGGTTGATATTCTGTCTCCATCATTTAAAATACACCTATGATAAAAATTATAGACCCTTCATTTCTTTGTAAGTGGACAAACTTACAAAATCTGCAGGGGATCAATAATTATTTTCGCCACTGTAGATCCAAACACTGCATCATGGGTGGAAGTCACATGCTCCCACATACATCGAAGAGCAGCCACAGCAGAAGAAGCAGTGAGGGAGCACTGTGAAAGATATCACAAGGTGATCAGAAGGTATGGGGTGTTGGATGTACTAGCAGATTTAGATACACTAACAAACTGAAGCTAAACTCCAGCTAATACTTTATAAGCAGTTACAGCAAACAGTTTTCCTTTTGGAATAAAGGTTTTATTTAAATAAAAGCTTATCATTG